AGACACCCCCCAGGCACCTCAGCTTCCAGGCCAAGCAGACTGAGAACAAGCTTTCTCACACAAGAATCATTCTTCCTGACTATCCAAGACTTTTTCAGCAACCTCCCCTGCGTGTCTACCTCTGAGTTATCATACAAGGCTTTTTGCTCACAGTTTGCAGCTTTATAGGAAAAATATTCTCATGAGGCTACAGAGGCCTGGATTTCTGTGGCAGCCTTTTAGAGCTTGTATTCTGGGTAGCATGAATGTACCTGAGGGACTCAGGGGTCTCCAAAAGATCCCTTTTGGTATTTCAGATGAAAAACCAAAGTCTATTTAGTGACTGTAATCAAAGCAGCTTAATCCCTAGTGTCCTAGTTGTTTTGGGATTGGTACTTCTCTTTTTATTCTTTTTGTATAGCTTGTCCCAGCTGCAGTGCTTGGGGTGGGAAGCAGCACCTCAGGCAGTTGCTGGCCAGAGTGCAGGACAGCCAGCAGGGTGCTCCTGTTCCAGCGTGGACACCGAGCCCTCCCTGGAACGCGGGCAGGACATAGTGGGCATAGTGAACATAGCTCAGGAAAGGTCCCTGGTGTCACTGGGAAATGAGATCCACATGATGCAAGACTAAGACAGCAGTGGATAGGGATCAGATCTGAGATGGGCATAGATCTGGAAAATAAAATGGAAACACTCCTTACAAGGAGTTTGCTCTCTGGGTTCTGATTGCAGCTGCTGCATTCAGCGTCTCACAGACAAAGACACAGCCTGAGACCATTTTTCCTCCCTCTTATTTTGGCAGCTCCTGGGGAGATGCATTGAGAAGTTGCAAGAAAATGGGGTACAATCTGGCTTTTACAAATAATTTGTTAAGATTACTTCAAATCTTCTTTGTGGGGGTTCAAAGTATGTGGATCCTTTATTGTCTAAATTAAAGGTTTAGGCAAAATCATGACCCTCACCAGTATCTCCTGCACTCGAGGTATCACTGCACTGCTAAACTAGCAACTGTATGGTGGAATATATCACATAAATAACCAGTCTGAAATTTTAGGTAAGCTTAATTTCATAGCTTGGGGTAAATTAAATCTTTGGAGTGCATACCTCAGAATATAAATTAAAGGACTTCTTTTAAAAGGAGACATAATCCTTTGGACTGCTTACAAGGAATATTCCCAGGAAGGAGAAAATATTCAGCTTGGGATATCATGTGTTTAATAGCTCATTCCCCAGTGCTCTCTGCTGTGATGGAATGATAGCAAATCCTGGTGTTACCTGTGGGTTTGGCCCTAGAGCTTTGTTCTCATCTCCTGTGTTACTCAGACAGGTAAGAAGCACACACAGCAAAAGCCAGTCTCACCTGTCTGGCTCTGGAAAAACACGTCCAGCTCCCCTGGGGTTAACCAGCAGATCCCAGTCTGCCCCTGGCAGGGTCTCTCCAAAAGCATTTGGCTGGAAGTGGCATCCTAGGGAGACATCTCCAGCCACTGCTTGTCACACTTGTCAGGGAACAGCACAAACAGGATTTTGGGAAGGAGCAGGTCTTGGGTTGTGCTGCATTATTTCATATACCCAGTGTCACTTGAGACACCTGGGAGAAAAGGGTGAAGTTATGGGGAAAACACACTCCTTTAGGCTGCACTTAATCAGCTAGAAAATCAACAATCTGTTGTGGAAATCAACAGAAGTTTCAAAATCTCTGACAGTCATGGAATACTTTTCTCAAAATACACCACCTCCAAGAGTGCTGGAAAGGCACAGACGAGGACTGTCCCAGCAGGGACCAGTTACATGGTCTGAAAGAGAAATTCTTGATGCTGCTTCCACAGTCTGTATTATTCCATAGATCTGTATTTAAGGTCCCAAGAAAGAAGATTTTGTTTTAAAGAATCAGAGTGGGTGAGGGTTTGGGTGAAATAAGCATTGTGCAGTTGGTGCTGGCACCTGGAAAGGGCTGGCAACAAGGGGATGCTGCTCCAAGGTCACTGTATTTGGGGTCTCCTGAGCTGTCTGTTTCCAAAAGAGCTGTGAAGTTCTCAACCTTTTAAATAGCCCAAACAGCTCTGTGCTCTCAGCTTACTGGCTCTGGGAAGGAAATCCTCCATGTTCCCATCAGCCACTGGAGAGCCTCACATCAACCAAGGATCAAGCATGCATGCTCCCCAAAGCTTTCATGTTTCTCAGCTGGTTTCCAGTACTTCCTCTGAATTTACCATATTCCTTTTGCCTTTGCTCCGAGCTCAGCAGACTTCCCTCTCTCTGTTAACCCCGCTGTTCCAACTCTACCTCTGCAGAGCAGTGCTCAGAGCTAAGCTCTGACAAGAGCTGTGCTCCTGGAGATGACACTTATTTTGGTGACCCAAAATAGCAAACCTGTGTCAGGCTTTACTCCCAGGCAAGGGGAATCAAGCAGAACTCAGCAAGGCACAGGGTGACATCTCCTCACAGAACTACCAAGAGGCAAAAGGGGAAATGCATAAAGGAACAAACAGCACAGAAAGAGAAGTTATTTAAACAAGATGTTCTTCATTCACACAGGGCCTGTCTAGCACTCTACAAGAGAGCTGAATACTGGGTTAATTTGCAATACTTTTGGTTTGCTTGTAAGATTGTGGAGATGTGCTGCTGTCACAATGTGCTGTGTTTGTCTCAGAGAATGTGCCTTGGAGGGTCCCAGAATGACTGCACAGAAATGAGGAGGAGTATTTGTGATAAAAATGAAACCTGAATTGCATTAGATCTTCCTGAGTGGCCTTCCAGATCCTGAAGGGATCCTATACAGAAGATGGAGGGGGTGCTCCAAGAGCATCTAGTAACAGGACAAAGGAGAATTCTTCACACTGACAGAGCAGGTTTGGATTAGATATCAGGAAAAACTTCCCTGTGAGGGTGGTGGGGCCCTGGCACAGAGAACCTGTGGCTGCCCCATCCCTGGCAGTGCCCAAGGCCAGGGTGGACACTGGGGCTTGGAGCAACCCAGCACAGTGGAAGGTGTCTCTGCCTGTGGCAGGGGGTGGGACTGGATGAGCGTTAAAGTCCCTTCCAGCCCAAACCATTCTGTGTTTCCATGACTCTGATAGGCTGGAACATGGCAAATATTTTATGAGCCAAAATGCAGAGACCCCCACAAACAGAGCATGTCAACACACTGCAGGTGATAAACTCAAAAAGATGCATTTAAAGAGTATCAGTGGGATCAGCTGTTGGGCTGGAAGCTTTGTGGTTAAATATTACTGATGTGATGGGTTTATTTTGTATTTGTCTTATACAAAGCAGAAATTCAGTTCTTAGCTGCTGGTGGGTCAGAGGGCGAGAGACCCCTCTGCTTCATAAAACAAACCAAACCAAGATTGGAGCATCTATTTTAAAAGCTGCAGAAGCAGGGAAGGCAGGGCAGGGAGCCACCTCGGCATTGTCTCGGAAGGTGAATGTAGGAGAGCCATTAGCAAACTGTTCATCTGCAGTCCCGGGGGAAAGGAACCCAATCTCAGTCTGTTGGTCTCCAGTTTCATCCCTGCCAGTGATCTCTGCCATCTGGCTGGGTGACCTTGGGCAGCACATTTCATCTCAGTTTTGCACCAAAAAACAAACGGGACTGAGAGTGGCACGGGGAAGGCAAAGCTCAAAGGGATCCGTGGGATGTGGGGGCAACCTCTTGGAACAAGGGGGCCTGTGAGTGCTGTGGGGCTGGGTACTGCTGGTCTGGTTTCAGTGAAGAAAGCTCCAATATTTCAATGTTTCCTGGCTCTCAGAACAGCAGATCCAGCTTCTTCTCAGCTCTGGTGAAACAGAGTGAGATTAAGTGCTTAAAAGATGTCTTTACAGAGGTGTGGAGGTGGCAGAGGTGAGCTCCAGCCCAGAAGGGTGCGGTGGCATAGGCTGCTGTGTCTATCCCAGTGCTGGAGGCTGCGTGGGGAGCCTCTTCTTCTTCTCAGCTCCACTGTGATACCTGGACTGGAGCTCACGTTTAGAGAGTGGAATACACCTCCACGCTGCTTAAATAGGGCTCTAAAAGGCAGGTGAACCTTACTACTGAATTTTTAAAGCAAGCCTTTAATGTTTAACCAGTGCTGATTTTCTAAGGGCTGTTGAACACGTGTGGCATGGCAGCTCCTCAGAGTGCCACTGCAGAAAGGGCTGGGCTGGAGGTGTGAAAATGCCTTTTCCTTTCCCTTCTGCTTTTCCTTTGTCTCAGGGATCCAGGGGGATCGTTCACCTGCTCAGGGCCGAGTTACCCCAGCACCTCCATGACAAACCACTGCATTTTCTGGCCTCACTTACTGCAGCTTTGCCACAAACCTCCTTTGTAACTTCTTTCAGCTGCTTTCCTAATAATCCCTACAGGCTTTTTCCTGCCAATGCATTTGAATTGCTATTGAGTTTTTAAAATTTATGCCACCAGATGAGGCATTGAAGTTGAGACAAAAGTAGAATTTGAAGTGAAATGCCCTTGTAATGGGGGAAGTGGAGGCTGAACGATATCTTCAGACCAGATGTCCTTCCTGGAAAACATTGTCCTTTCTAACTGCAGGAGTTCCTGGGCTGGGTTGCTGAGGGGTGAGAACTTCTTTCTGAGGAGCTCCCATGAGAAAAACCTGAGGGTCAGTGGCAGCCCTTGAGGCAAACACCCAGTCCTGGTAGGTGGAAGGACAGTGAGGGCCCTTGGGAATGCCCTGAAGAGTTGGCCCTGTGTCAGGGGAAAAGGCAGCCCACTGACACTGGAAAATGCCAAGGTGACCTTCTGGCAGCAGGAGAAAACAAGTGTTGGAAAATAGGAATTATAGTCAGGGCTGCACAGCAGAAAGAAAGAGGGATTGGGACTCACCAAAATCTCCTCCAGCTTTTATAACCTGAACAAAAGGGAAAACAACCACAACTGTGGCACAAAGTAGTTACAGGCTGGTGTAAATTCTGTAGCAGGAAGATGGAAATATTGCTTTATTTTTTCTTCTGTTTTCTCTGAGGAAATTTAGCAGTAAATGAGGAACAGGAGCGACATGCTTCTTTAAAAAAGAAAGTTGTATTGTGATGGGAAATTCAGAATATTTATTTATAAATAAATACATTTTGTTTTTATTCTGAATATATATTTATAAAGTAGATGTTGCAGGCCTTGAGTAACTTTGTGGCTTTTGATGCCAAGTTGTGCTGCAAAGGTCTTTAGGAAAAGTGCTCTGGCTCCACAGGCTGCAGCCTTGGGAGCTCTGACATTTGATGGTCAATGGTTGTTTTTGAGCAGTGTCAGGCTGGTCTCCTCAGTCTGAGATAGCAGAACATTTCAGGAAATATTGCTGATCAGAAATAGCACTGCAGCTTCCTGAAGTGTCTGCTCAGATAAGGGGACACTCCACAGCTGGAAGCGATAAGGAGGCAGGAAAAGACAAAGCAGTAAATGTGATGTTACTTCAATACCAGCAGGCGAAGGGGCAGCTGGTCCTTAGGGAGAACCTGAAATGAGGTTAAACAAAGTTCAATGAGGTTCTGAAGGTGCAAAACATCCCCCAGCTGGTCTCTCACATCCCTCTCCTCCACCACTCCTGGTGCCACACGCCTCTCCTGCCCCAGGAACAGCTGCTCAGCCACTCTGACACCCCAAAGTCGGGCAGTGCTGGCATCATTTCCTCCACAGAGCCACAACCCCGAGGACTGTCACTGAATGGTGACAACTGCCCAGCGCATGGCCTGACAAACAGGGACCACTCATCCTGCGCTGCAAAGCCCCCCAAGATTCACCAAACACTGCACAGGTTTTCAGAGCTGGTGGGAGGGGGGGAAGCTGAGAGGTGAGGATGCCTGCCAGTGTCCTTCTCAGTGTCACGTATCTGAGTGATCTCCTTGTACCTCAACAGAGTACAGTTTGGGGAATATTTGCTGGAGGAGTGGGTTCACAGGTGTGTAGTAAGTCACGTAATACATCAAACAATATAGTGCAGTGATAAAGGGCTCAGGTGAGCAGGTCCCTTTGCTCTGATCTACCCTGGGATGAGCAGGATTAAATTGTGTTCCGGAGCTGTGGCTCTGCCTCCTCCTGCCCTGACATAAGAAGGCTCCTCTTGCTCAAGGGCAGGAATCAAAGAAACATGGAGCATCCTGAACTGAAGGGTCCCTTCAAGGTCATCAGGTCCGATCCTGGCTCTGCACAGGACACTCCAAGAATCCCACCCTGTGCCGAGAGCATTGTCCAAGCACTCCTTGAGGCCTGGCAGGGTTGTTGCTGTGACCCCTGTGTGGGATGGGGTGAGCCCATCTGCACACACACCCCTCGTTATTCTCCTTTTCTGCCCACATGAGCCCCCACCTGGAGACGTGCCCGGGTCTGGACTCCTCAGCACAGGAAGGACACGGATCTGCCAGGGCGAGTCCAGAGGAGGCAGCAAGACGATGGAGCAGCTCTGCTGTGGGGACAGCCCGAGAGAGCTGGGGGTGCTCACCTGGAGAAGGCTCCGCGGAGACTTTAAAACCCCTTCCAGCGCCTGAAGAGACTCCAGGAGAGCTGGAGAGGCACTTGGGACAGGGGATGGGCTGACAGGCCCGGGGGGGACGTCTCCCCGCAGCCCGAGCAGGCTGGAGGGACGCGGGGCTCCCGGCACGGCCGGAGCCGGCCGCCCCTCAGCGAGATGGCGGCGGGGGCCGCACGTGCGGGGGGCGGGGCCTGCGCGGGCCCGCAGCACAATGGACAGCGCCCGGCGGGGCGGGGCCGGCGGGGCGGCGCCGCCGCGGGAGCGCCGAGGGCGGCATGGGGCCGGCCGGGCTGCGCCGCGCCCGCGGTGAGGGGAGCGGGGGTGCGGCCGCGGGAATGCGGCGGTGGGAGGTGGGAGGTGGGCAGCGCACTCCGGGGGTCCCTCGGGGCCGCCGTGCGAGGGGAGGGCGGGTGGGTGTGAGGCTTTTCCTGCCTTGCGTGCCCGGGCGCGCCGTGAGGCGGCGGTGGGTGTGGGGCGCCGGGAGCCGCTATCCTGCAGACACGGGAAGCCGAGAGGGAATTTTAGTCCTAATCCGGTGGGATCACGGAAGGAGCCGGTGAGACCCGCACGGGGGGCTCGGGGTGGCGGGGGATCCCTTCGGGTTAAGGACAAAACGCAGCGTTCTGAAGTTGGGTTTGTGCTGTGCCGGGCTGAGGGCGGCGGGCGGACCCGGCTGGGCTGAGCCCCGGCGCGGCTGCGAGGGGGACCCGGCACCCGCCCGGGCGGCTCGAGAGCCGGGCACGCCGAGCTCCCCGGGCTCGGGGTTCCACAGATCCGCCCTGAAACTCACCCCGAAGTATGTATCGACTCAAAGGGTGACCCTGGTCAGCGCTGTTAAATGCATTGATGGATTTAACAGGTTGCCCAGAGAAGCTGTTGCTGCTCCATCTCTGGAAGTGTCCAAGGCCAGGCTGGATGGGGTTTGGAGCAGCCTGGGGTGATGGGGCTAGAACTAGCAGGGGCTAAAACAAGATGGGCTTTAAAGTCCCTTCCAAACCATTCTGTAAATTCATGTTTTCAAGTCAGCTTCTAGGTGAACCAAGTATATTCTCCGGGTCACTTGGCTAAACTCCTCCAAGCAGTTGAATTGGTCTGTAGATGGTGAGAAGGTGCTTGTGTTGATGGCACCATTTATCTGGTGGGGCTGATGACAGCCAGCCTCTGCTCAAGGAAAATACAGCTGCAGGTTTCAGTCAAGACACACTGAAACAGTGCTGGTGCTTTGTTGTACTGTCGAGTGAGCTGCTGCCTGGCTCTACTCTTGATTTACATGTTAAACCTGAACCATGGGGTCCTTGGCAGAAGAAGGATATGAACTTGTTGAAGTGGGTCCAGAGGAGCCCATGGAGATGCCCCAAGAGATGGAGCCCCTCTGCTCTGGGGCCAGGCTGGAAGGCTGCTCACCTGGAGAAGAGAAGGCTCCAGGGAGACCTCAGAGCTCCTTCCAGGTCCTAAAGGGGCTCCAGGAGAGCTGGAGAGGGACTGGGGACGAGGGATGGAGAGTGATGAGGCCCTTGCACAGGTTGCCCAGAAGAGCTGTGGCTGCTCCATCCCTGGAAATGTTCAGTTTGGGATAGTGGAACCTGTCCCTACCCAGTGCAGGGGGGGAAACAGGATAGGCTTTAAGGTCCCTTTCAACCCAGACCATTCCAGGATTCTGTGTTTAAATTGTGTTTGAGAATTTACTATTTCCTACACTGGATGGATAAATGGATGTGGTATGACTTCCTGTGGAGTAGTAAGATGAGGAATGAGGGGGTTTACTTCAGGAATGCTTATCTCCTGCTACAGGCTGGCAAATATCAGGGAGTTAATGTATTGCTATGCATAAAAGTTCCATGGTGATTCTTTGGTGAGAAAATTACCTTATGAGATGGATGTGTGGAAATATTGGACATGGAGCTTGTTGTGAAACACAAATGGAAGAGAAGCAGCTCTAAGAGCAGAGTGCTGGACACTGTTCCGTTTCCTTCCTCCCCTCAGCCAAAAAGACTGTTCCCTATTGTGTGGTCAGGAATGTATAAATGTTGTTATTTGGGTGTTTGTGTTGCTTGTCTTTGGTTTTGATCCTCGCCAGGACTCCAGGTACCTCTGCCAGGTGTAGGAGCAGTGCCCAGGCTCCACCTCAGCACAGTGACCCTCACCTTCCATGCTGCTTCACTTGCTGCAGAGGTGTTTCTCAGGGGCAAGATTAAGCCCTGCCTGAGCAGATGTCTGCTTCTAAAAAATGGCAAAGGTTTATTCGGGTACCATTCTGCCTTGAGCCTTCCTTATATCAAGCTTCAAGAGACTTGTTCTTTAGTTCTTAGGTGAAAAAGCTCAAATAAATATCCTAGAGCTTGGTACTGTGTTGTTCTTCTGTGTGCAAAGCATAAATTACAATATCTCCCTAAGTGAAAGGGGCACCAGGCAGAGGAAATGTCACACACCTTTCTCCCCACCTTTCTCTAGAAGGCAGGAGGAAAGAATGCAGCCCTGTGGAGTCCCCCTTTTCTAACTGGAAATATCAGCTTAGCTGGGTGCCACAGCTGGCTTTCACGTGGTGTAGTGGTATTTGAGGAAGTCAATAATCTTGCTATTTTCAGCAGTTCTTTGTCAAAAACAAAACAAAACAAAAACCCCTGCTCAGTTCTCTTCAAGATGAAAAGCAACCACCACAGGTGGGAGAAGTTAATAAAGTCACTTGCTGCCAGTTCCACGTCCAGCAGGCAGCTCCAGTGTGGAAGGAGCTGAGTGAATTCTGTGCCTGGCTGAGAAGCAGGGGCAGGGGGCTTGATTTAGGGATTTCTGGGTATTTAATCTACACACTCAGTTTCTGATTTCCAACCATCTGGCTGTATTCTGTCAAGTAAGCTGCTCCTACAAATAGTAGAATGGAAGTCAAGCATCTGGAAAATCCCTCAGGTGTGCAGTGAGTGATTCTGGATGGAAAGGAAACACACAGTTAATGTCACTGCCTGTCCCTTTGCTGTGTGTAGTGATGTGTGTTCCTCACGGGAGCCCTCACAGGCCTGGCTCCTGTGCTGGGGGAGCTTTGCACACTGGGGGTGCACCACTGCTTCTTCAGAATCCATTTCTCTGGAGTGCTTCCAGAGTTACAGCAAGTGCCATCAGGGTCCATATCCCTCCTCTTCCCACCTCCTTCCCTGGAGCACCCAGCAGGTGGATCTCGAGTTTGTAATGAGCTCTCTCTGCTTGGTTCACAGAGGAATTGTTGTGTGTGCTGGAGCAAAAGGGATGCCCAGGGAGCTGAGACTGTCAGGGCTCAGTGTGGCACAGTGTGTCACAGGATTCTCTGTGAAATGTGGTGGCTTTTGCTGTTTTCTGTGTTCAGCTGTGCAAGAATTGAAATAATTTAATATCTACTTGGGATGGCTGTTAGTAGCCAGATTTGTTGCTTCAGTGCACTGATGACTCCAGCCTCTGAGCTTTTATCAACTGCTCTGGGCTTGACCAGCTGGTATAAATGCTTTTTCCTGGTGTTTCCCTAGGGATGCTCCCTGGTGTGCCTCCACCTGTGGACTGGGTTTTCTAAGTGGTCATGCTGCAGTTCAGTGGGTCACTGCTCTTCACCTGAGTTGTCTTCCCTTATATGTTTTTTTAGCCAGATGCAAATAGGAAGTTGAGCAGGGAGCCTGGGCCACTGTAGAGCTGGAATGATGTTTGAGGAGCAGACATACTCTCTGATTGGGTGGTTTCTTTCTGGTGGTTGAACATACCTGTTTATAATTTGGGTGGAACACAAGATGAATTTAAAACTAAATCTTTGGTGCTAAAGCCCTGGGAAGATGCACATCTTACAATATGGCCCAGATGCCCAATGGTAACACCTGGGACTCTGTCCTTATCAATGCTAATCATCATCTTCAGCCAGGTGTGCCAAGTAGCCACCTTCACTGCCTTTTCTGATGTTTTTTTTTCCTTTTTTCCCAGGACTTACAGCAGGAGTCCCTGTTGCTTTGAGAAGCACAATGACCATCTCACAGCTCTGTTTGGAGGAGAGGGCATAGAAGGTCTGCTGTCACTGTACTCTCCTAAGGTATGAAAGATTTCTAGGGCAGGTGTGAGTTATCAGCTGTCATTTTTTTACAGCTTCCTCTTTTCTCCAGCCTTCCCTCAGTTGGAGGAGCACAGAGGCAATAAACCTGTGACAGTCGAGTCCAGCAGCTGCCAGAGCAGTGGGTCTATCCAGGCAGCACAATTAAGGCTGCTGAGCTACAGCTTGTGCCATCCCACTGTTCTGTGGCTGGTGCCTCTGTTTATGGTGCCTTTGTGGGTGATTCTAGACTGGTTTGTCTTGAGCCTTCCTGCTGTGGAGGTTTCTGCCCTTCTCCTGCAGAGATGCAGGAATTCCTGGTGTAGGAGGTGAGGTCAGAATAAGCAAGAACCCAGCTCAAAGTGCTCGATGAGGCTTCTCCCGCTCTATCTGTGCTCACTGGGAAGGTCCCTGCCCAGCCTAATCGTGTTACAAGGTCGTGTTCCAAGGTGCCCTGTCCTGTGCCTCTTGGCTCGGGTGTCTGATACCTGATAGCAGCCTGGGCTTCCTGAGATGTGCTTGTGCTGCTCCTCCCACTGCATTCTGGGCTGGATGCTCTGCTGGGGGGTTCTCTCTCCATTGACTGGCTTTTAGCACCAATGGGACTGAGAGATCCAGCGAGCCCTGACCTTTGCTGCTTGGTAATGTGACCCCCTGCAGAGGAATTGTCTGATCACTGGGCCCTATTTCTCCAAAAATCCCTCATTCTCAGGTATTCAAACTTTTCAAGTCCTTTCTCCCTCACCCTTGCATAGATTTTACAGTGTGATGGCATTTTGCAGCAATTTTTGAGGGAGGATCTATTGCCTATTCATGTTTCACCTCCGGTTTTGGGCTGAAAATGTCAGGGCTAAGTTGTGTGAGTGCTCTGACTGTTGAGTTCAGCGCTACACTGCGTCATGTTGCCGAGGGCTGTGTCTGCTCAGCGGTGGAATTTGAGTGGGGTGGAATGAGCACAGTGCCTCCAACCAGCCATCCAGCCTTTTGTGTCCTGATGTTCGTGGATGGTATTGGCAGGAGCAGTACAAAGGAATTCCTGAAGGAATTGCAGAAAGCAGCCTAATAATGCTTTTTATAATGATTTGTGTACTTCCCTTGAGATGCTGGTTACTGATGCATGTTTGAGAGTTAAAACCTGGGCAGGAGAGTCTGAGGGAGGAATCCCGATGAGGACAGTGAGAGGTGGCTGGGAGAAGGGAAATGCTGAGGACGGGATTGTTCCTGTTCCCTGCAGTTCTTGCCTCAGTTCAGCTGGAACAGTGGGCATCCAGGCAGTGGGATGTGATTGCCAGCTTAGCATCAAGCATGTTCTTTCAGCATGCTGCTTCCTTTTCCTTCCTTTCAGTGAGCTAAAACAACTGAATCCTACTTTGTGCACAAAAGCATTTAAAACATGGAGGCGTGGAAATCTGTGAGAGCTTTCAATGAGAAAGATTTTGTCCTAATTATTACAGATATAATGTAGGGAAGGGGGATAGAGGGAAGAATTGCTCTGTAGGCTCTGTAAGGCTCCTAAGACAAGCTCCTTCTCCAGAGTACAGTTCATTCTGGCTTTACATCTCTGTGCTGTGCTTTAATTATTGTGAGTTTTGTTGGAGGTCCAAGTTGAATTTATTGCAGCAGTGCTGGCAAGCAGCACAGGATACTGGGCAAGCCTCTGGACTGGGACTGCAGAGATTTGCTTCTGTCTCTGCTATTTACTAGGCAAGATATTCTACTTAATAAATCTCCTCTCTGTTTGTAAGAAAGAGCTACAACTTCTAGTAAGGTCTGTAAAAATCACCTAGAATGTATTCGCTGCTTGGCGTGGGGGATCTAAAATGTTCCAATTTCTCTCTATTACAGGTGTGTGGTAAAAATGGTGCAGAAATACCAGTCCCCAGTTCGAGTCTACAAATACCCTTTTGAGCTCGTCATGGCAGTGAGTAACACTCAGCACTTTCCCTGCTCCAGCTGCTGAGGGCCAGGGGAGGTGGGGGCTGTGGGTTTGGGTGGATGTCTGTGACAGTCCTACTGCAGGAACAGAGCCTCAGTTCCCCTCCTCCAATTTCCCAAGAAAAACAAGAATCAGTATCTCAGCATTAAGAATGGCAGCTTAGTTGTTAGAAGGGGAAAAAAAAACCCAAACAAACAAGAAAATCCAACCTTATGTAATTATTCTTGGACATGGAAGGAAAAAAACTGACGTTGTTAGGCAGGGTCAGTTTGCAGCCAGACACATTCTTTGCTATATCACCAAATGCCACTCAGTTCAAAATTTGTCCAGATGTGATCCCAATCAACATGTGGATATGGATGTATCAACAACTGGATTCTGGAAAATACTGAGCTTTTTTATTTGGTTAAAGGCTGGAAATCTTTGGAAAAAGTCTTCTGTATTGTTCTTCCCCATCCACTCTGTGATTGAACTGTCAGGAGACCTCTCAAAATCTTGTGATTTCCACAAGGGGCTTGAGGGCTATCATTGAAGTTCATTCACTGGGAATGCAGAAGGTTGGTGTTGACTGTGGGAGTTGCTTTAGGCAGAGTTTCTTTGCAATATTCTGGACTTTGTCACAATTAGATGTGAGTTAAATACCTTTCTCAAAGGTTTGCTGCTGCATTTCAAGGGTAGCATTGGGTGTTGTTAGAGGAGATGGCTTATGGAATCTTGCAAGGTTTTGTTTTGTAATCTGCTGGGCATTTCAGTCAGCTGAAGGGATCCTAGGCTTGGTGTTTGCCACTTTTAGCCTGCTGCTTCCTCCATTACCTGTTCCCAGTTCCTTTAGTTTATGGGAACCCAGAAAGAAGATGGAAAGCTGCAGCTGTGGCAGACAGCTGATGTGATTTCCATGAATGGAAGGGAGAGCCTCTTTTGAGTTCCTCTTGACAATGTGACCTCTTCAAGATTTCTGAAAAATGCCTTAAGATTTTTTTATCCAAAACAGCCTCCAACCTTTTATTTTAATAGTTAAAACTGGGGGCATCAGTTTGTTCCTCGTTGTGAGTAGGGGACCCCAAAGGTAGCAGTAGCTGAGAATGAGTGGTTGCTGTTCACTTTGCTTTCTGATCATCCACATGAACACTGCTTTTGCTGACAGTTGAGTTCCCTCCCAAATCTACCTCTATTTTCCGCAGTCTTAGCCAGATTTGCCATGTCTGTTCACAGCTAAACCACAGAACGTGCCACAGAATTGCCCTGACCAGTCTGGGGCTGATGATTGTGGCAGTGAAGCTTTCCTGGCTGTGGTCTTTTCTCTCTCAGTGCATCCCGTGTGAGAATAAGACACCGGTACCTGTGATGAAGATCCTGGGAGCCTTTGTTCTATGCACACCTCTCCACATTCCTGTTGTCTCTATTAGCAGGATAAAGCTACCACCAGATGCTCCTCAGTCGATTGGCTGCCAATTGAGGAGGGCTGCCTTGAGACAAATCCTTTATAAGCTTGTTAGCACATGCCTAAAGGCCAGAGGCTGGTAGGCTTAATTTTGAAGTGGTTTAATTTTATTTGCTTTCAGTTCTTCAGCATAATAGAGTTTAAAATTCCCTGAGAATTGAGGGCTGGGGTTGTAAATGTCATTCTTTAGTTATTCAGCAAATCTTAGCAAAGTTGTTAGTCCTCTTTCTCATGAGCAAGTTCCTTTTCCAGGGTCACCCTGCAGACTGTGCTGTGGAGAGCTGAATATAGACCCCTTAGCTCCCCCCTCCCCGTAAAAATCCTGTGTTCTCAGCAAGATCTACTGCTGTAAAGCAGCATTTCAGTCTTGTGGTGGTCCGTGCAGGCTGAGCTGGATGCAGAGTTGGCTGCCACTGCTGCCACGTTCAGACAGAGGCTCCTGTTTGTGTGGAGGCAGCGCGGATCTCGCAGAGCTGTCAGGTACCAGCTGTCAGTTGCTGGAAGTTTTGCAGGGAAGAGTGGGTGTACGGTGAAGCTGTTTTGCTCCTCAGCACGTGTCATTGCTGTTAATCTCCTTCACCATAAATCTGACAGCAGCTTCCTCAGCACTGAGATTCAGCTGCTTTCATCTTTTCCCCTCAAATGCTGTGTGGGAGCCTTTGGAGTGCCGAGGTCTCAGGCTGTGGTAGGAAAGCAGGGGTGACCCAAAGACACCCCCATGTTTTACAGATCTCTGGGCACCCTTCAGCCTGATACACTTGTGCTTAATTCCTCACTGGGGAGGCTCATCACTCACAACACAGCCTGAACAGAATACAGGAAGCAAGTTGGGAAAAGTATTTTTCCCTCAGAACCTCCAATGTTTGGACCCTAGAAAATAGTGGGTGTGCTTTGCTCATGTAGGAGAGTTTGAGAAATAGGGCTGTCACAGGCAAATGTGGCAATTCCTTGTTTCTGGGCTGGCTCACACAGGTCCACAGGTGGGCCCTTTGTGGAGCCCACCCTCAGGAACAGGAGTTCTCCTTGGACTTGTGCAGAGGCCATGTGTGTGCCTGAAGCTGTGCTCCAGGGATGAGCTGGGGCTTTTCCTGCTGATACCTTTGTTATCATGTGTCAGGGTAATTGTCTCTGGATTTACATGCTGCTGTTTCCTAATGCTCCTGCAGGTTGGGTTGGAGCATTTGCAGGCAGGAGATTTGATGTGTATTCCAAGTCTTTGGAAAAACATTCCCCTTCTTGCTCTCTTTGCCAGTCCTATGCATTTGAGGAAGTAAAAAGGAGTCAGCTTAACAAGTCTTTTCTTGCCATTTGGGAGTTCTGAATTTTTTCTTTTTTCTTGTCCTTCTTTCTAAAACAGATTTAAGCAAAGGGTGTTTTTTCTGCACCTGTCCGAGGTCACTGTAGTCACTTCCACCTGCTTTGTTCTTAACTTGGATTCATATTAATGGATCAAAAGTATTATGCTCTTCAAACACATATTCAGTGCCTGACACCTTTATACCTTATACTTGAAAAGAACCTTGACTTCTGTTAGGCTTTGTTATCTTGTCTTGTTTTTCCTTTCTATTTTATCTTTTTCGTCTGCGTCCTCTTTTAAATGGAGCTGTTCCTCCAATGGATTGTCCATGCCTCTCTGGGCTTCATCTTGTCTTCCCTTCAATTAGATCAGTAGATTTGACATTGCATGACTTCTAATTTTATCTTACAGCCAAGAAAATTCCCAAGTATAAACTTTTCATTTTCTTTCTGTTGTAGTTGGAAAGCTAAAAGGGATTTTTTTTTAATGTTATAATGAATAAAAAATCCAGAAGGAGAGGTACCTCTGCCACATATGAGTGATGCAAATGTGAGCCTTCTGTGATGTACTGGGGAGGAGAATTTGGTTTGGGTGAGCAAGTCCAACATGCAGGAAAGGGCCAAGAGGGAGACATATTACATATTTAATGTTATTTGCAATGAATTATTAGGTTAGATGAGATAGCTGTGGCTGGAGGGTTTCAGCTTTGAATGTGGTAGGGAGTTGTGTTCCTGTTATTTTTAGTAGTGCCTCAGCCCTTCACACTCACAGTTGACATTGACCATTTTCACACACTTTAGGGGATTTATAGGGTTAAGTCTCTAAAACTACAGGTTGGGAATAACCCCCTAGAAACCTTACAGGGTCTTCTGTATGTGATGGATAATTTCAGTTGCTGCATTAGTGGAGCAGATGAGAAATCTCTGACAGCATTTGTCAATTATTTGCTCCTCTTGCCACTGTGCACTTCATGTTCAGCTCTCACTGCTAAGAGCAGTTTATGGTTTCTGCTGCAAGACAGGGATCTTTCTGCACTACTATATAAAAATAAGTCATGATTTTGGGAAAAAAGAACAAAGATCAGGCATTGGAAGGTTTGCAGGAGCATCCGCTCCCATTGCCTGTGCAGTTGTATTTTGTGCTTGAGACAAAACCGCCGTGGAGCCCACATGTGCCTGATGTGAGTCAGTGCTGCTTTCTGCTTGACCTCATTTCTTGGTGCTGCCCACGGCATGTGCTGACACATATCTGTGCAGCTGGGAGCCCAAGCTCTTGGACACACACATATGGGGAGCCTTGGTGTGTGCCTCTGTGCTGGCTGAGTGCTGCTCGTCAGGCCAGGGCAATTCTGCTCCTGCAGCGAGAATTTGGGTGGGGGTGGCTCCTCTGGGGTGCCTGTTTGGTGTGGGGGTGTTTCGCATCTCCAGCATCACTCAGAGTCTCCAACAGACCTGTGGCAGCTCAGGAGCCCCCTGCCTGGCTTTGCACGTGAAAGCTGCAATGTCTGAGCTTCTGGCCTGCACTTCCAAGCAGCTCCCTGACTCTTCTGTTTTTAGTGGTGATTCAGTGTTCTTTGAATCACAGAACAGTTTGGGTTGAAGAGACCTTAAAACCCATCCCACTCCCTGCCATGGGCAGGGACCCCTTCCACTATCCCAGGGTGCTCCAAGCCCTGTCCAACCTGGCCTTGGGCACTGCCAGGGATCCAGGGGCAGCCACAGCTGCTCTGGGCACCCTGTGCCAGGGCTTCCCCACCCTCACAGGGAACAATTTCACTCCAACATCCCATCTAACTGACCTGTGGCAGGGTGAAATCATTCCCCTTTGTTCTATTGCTCTGTGCCCTCATCCGAAGTCCATCTCCAGATTTGTAGCTCTCCAATGTTCTTTACATTTAGTTGATCTGCAGTTTTCTATTTCACAGGTAAGACGAAGTAGGAAGTTAACAATGGATGTTCTCTTTCAGCTCAGTATAGTTTGAGTGTCAGAGGTTCTAACAAGCTGAGTGACAAGTTTAATTCAGGCTACAAATGCTGCAAGTTTATTTAAAGTCAGAACTTATTTCTCATATAGCAAGTAGCAGAAATATTCCTTCTCCATCATCTCTACTCTCTCATGCTGTACACAGGGTCATACCCATGAAAAGCAAACATCCATGGTCCCAGTGTGAGATGTCTTTCTCTTGTGCCTGACTCTCAGGAGCAGTTCAGTGATTCTCACTGGATTTGGCAGAGGTCCTCACTGCTG